TGGAAGGCTATGTGACTTTACTACGTGTATATGTTATTTGACACATTTATTACATAAGTGAATGCATGAAGTCTTGCTTTTATGTTCGTAGTGAAATGTTTTGCAGGTCTTCACGATGTGGAAAAGTTCTGGAGAACAGACACTTCAGCAGACTTGAGAACAAGCAAACTGGACACGCCAAGTCAGAAGGGGACCAGGAGTGGTGTCTTCCTCCTCTACAGGCTGAATATCGCTTTGTCTGAAAGGCTTGGCACCAGAACTGCCTTGGATCTTAGCATATTTGCACAGACAGAATGAAATATAATAGGGAAAGGATCCAAGTCTCAACATGAAATTTGTTTCTATTTCATATGCACTGGAAGATAATTTATACAATATTTTATTGTGCCGGGTCCACTGAAAAATCTTCTACTTCTAGGCTTATGTCGGCACTCAGAAAGTTTCAGAGTTCTGAGCCCTGAAAATTTTCATATCAAGAAGTTCAGTTTGTGAAAGATAAGTTGTCCCTCTGGAAAATGGAAATGTTAACAACTAAAACAAAACAAAATCTCGCTAAACTAATTAAAAGCTGGGTGTTAATGATGAAAGAATGAGAAATGAGATAGAGAAAGACAGAGAGAGACTGGGAGACACTGATTCCGATAAAGAGCCAACTTTCCTGTCAATTCAGGTCACAAGGACTCTTGCTCAGGACTTTTGGAGCCAAGACAGTGAACATCTAAGATTGTACTCTTGAATACGTCACAGGACAGGGTGGTGAAGTCCTTTGTTTAGCTTCTCATAAACTGTAGGAACTATTCGGACCAGAGAACACTTCCGACCCACTCGCTGGCCCATCCAAAGGCTGGAATGTGGTGGTCTTGCCAGAAAGCACAGGAGACATAGATTTATGTATTTAGATGTGTGGATATTCATATTCTCTCTCTTGTGTGTGTGGGAGGATGTACCAGGAGAAGGGGAGAGGAGAGTCATGAAGATTCAAGTATAATTTGTCAAGTCCCTCATTATACTGAACTACTTTTCAAATGTAAGACAATTCTCTGTGGGCATATAACTTTGTGTAGCTAAGTATGCATGTATATTAATAATCCATTAAGAAATAACTATAGAAGCAATTGCCGACTTGACAGCCACCCCGACTTGTGCATTCTCCATACACCACCCAGGATGTCTGTCCTCTTCCAAAGGCAACTTTAAGTGACCACATGTGTATAATAGGTCTGGTTGGAAGCTCCAGTTTCCTGTGTCAACACACCTAATCCCACCCCCCCCCATCTACCATACGGTCACGATCATTATGGGGATTATCACCAGCACAAATGAGTAAACTGACAACTGAAGTTAAATAATTGGTGTCAGGTTCTCCACTGTGACCCCCAGAAGGACTATTGCTGGTTGACACCTTGGCTTTATCCCAGTGCGGTCTATTTCAGACTTCCAGAACGTTCACATAATGAATTAGTGTTGTACTGTTATGGCCATTTGTCTTCACAACAATAGACAACTCATCATTTGGGTTAGTTGTGTGAGTCCTGTACTTGAACACAGCAAGGCCTTCCAAGAAAGCAGCACTCAGATTAAGACTTCCTTTACTAGCTTTGTCAAAGGAAACAACTGACCCAGTCCTGATTCCTCTTCTCTGTATTCACCCTGACCTTCTTCTACAACTCCTGGAGAACGGGCTCAGAAATTTACCACTGACACCATGTGATGAAACAGACAGATATAGACAGACAGAAGAAAATAAAGGCATTTGGTATGACAACCTGAATAGAACTCTGATGGTTTTTGATAAAACAAACAAACAAACAACAACAACAACAACCCAAACAGCATTTCTTGCCTATTCCCCACTGACAAGACCCTAGGGAAATCCAGTGCATAGGAAGCTTGGGTGGTCCACACCCTCAGCCTCCCAGGAGCTCCCTTCCTCATGCACCGGTAAAGGATAGATGAGGGTCCTTGGGCAAAGAAAACTCAATGTTCTCTGCAAGGCTAAAGCTTTTGTTTGGGACTTTTTGAAATGCATTCCCAGACACAGTCTTTAAATGTTGTCAGGTCCACCAACAAACTCCCATTTTGGGCTCTATGTTTTTCAGGTAATTGAAACTGTACTGTTCTCAAATCATTTTTTTCAGCCAGTGTATTATGATGTTTTGTTCCTGACAGTGTTTACAAAAGGCAGAAGTTTCCTGTCACTGGTCCCTGGAGTCTTCAATGCTATGACATATCGAGACCTCTCTTTCTTACCATAGACCTGACCACTTTAGGAGAGATTACAGACTCAGGTCCGGTGGCTGGCTAGGGGTCCAGTACACAGCTGAAGACCCAGCTGCAATCAGACTGATAAGTGTCAGGAAGTGCTCTCTGAGAGACCCCAATACTCATGAGGGCCCTATTCCCAATAGCGAACACTCGTTCCTCCTGTTTTGAGAAGAAACAGCCTATCACTTTACAGAAATGTGACACTCAGCTCATTCAACATGCAGTTGGTACTTCATGATCACAGTATGGTACTAAATTCACTCTATATACGATTGTCTATCTCCTGAACCTCATCTCTATGCCATTCAATGGCCTGAACGCTTGTGTCTTCCAAAGTCATTTGTGGAAACCTGATTGCAAACATGATGGTGGTATTAGGACATGGGACTGTTGGAAGGGGATGAGGTCACAAAGGAGCCCTTGCAAACAAGATTATAAAACAGGTCCCCATATAGCTGCCCTGCCCTTTCCACCACATGAGGGTGCTATGAGGAACATATAAGAACCAAACACTGGGCCCTCATCAGACACTGGAAATACTCTTGTCTTAATTGTGGATTTCCCAGTTTCTGTAGCTGTGAGAGGAAAAAAACCCATTTGTTTATAAGATACCCAGTTTATGGTATTTTGTCAGAGCAGGCTCAATGGACTAAGATACCATCTTATCAACAGATACATGCTCACACCTTCTATGAGTCAGGCACTCTGTTCAGTAATGGGCATAAGAATGTCAGTCAAACACCATAAACATTCTGCCTCACTGGAGAAGGGAAGATATTTTGACTGTTTACGGTTTGGATAGGAAAGATATTATAACAGTTTTCAGTTTGGATAGGAAAGATATTATGACTGTTTATAGTTTGGATAGGAAGGATATTATAACAGTTTTCAGTTTGGATAGGAAACGTATTCTCCAAAGACTCAACAGTACCCCCATACCTGTTAAGGTCATGAAAAACAAGAGGTGTCTGAAATGCTGCCTCAGCCAAGAGGAGGGTAAAGGGACATGACTACTAAGCAGAATGTGGAATCCGAAGACAGAAAAGGACATTCCATAGGAATGAGAACAGTCTGAGCAGAGTGTTCCATATGACATAATAGGACAATAATGGTGGCAACTAGGTATGGAGTATATGGGAACAGTCTATACTAATGCAGTTTTTCTTTAAATCTGAATTCTTAAAGTCTGTTAGAAGGAAAGAAAACACCCGTGAAAAGCCAGACTTTCTGGCACTGGGGGAACAGTGGAAAAGGTTCCTGACTCATTCCGTACAGGTATCAGGGTTAGTAGAGCCCTCAGATGACAGAAAAGTCAAAGAGATCTTTCTGCACTTAGAGTAAGTTCTTGACAATTTCCCACTGCACCTACTGCTTCTACTTTGATGACTGAATGGGAATAGCAGAAGAAAACTGTTTTCTGTTTTGTAATGAACAATTCTACACCACCGTTCACGCTCATGTTAAAGTGAGATTTGAGAGCTCTGAGGAACACAACTCTGCCAGAGGTTGTTATACTCCCTCCAGATCCCAGATTCTTTGCAGACATCCATCGTGAGCACGTCGCCACTCAATCCCTGTGTGTTCCGTTTGATACCAGCTGATATTTCAAAATGCATAAAGTTTTCCCTGTGAATCTTTAACTTCCTGGTTCGACATGTCCCTTCCCTGGGACAGCAGGCACCCTGCTCGGACTCTGAAGGACATATCATTTTGGGCTTGGGACTAAGAGAGCCTGAGAAAAAACCTTGGTGTTGGGACCTTAAGACATTCTTCAGGCAAAATATTGTAAATACTAGTAATGTGACGAGAACTCCAAGGGCAACAATAACACATTTTAACCACCCCCTCCCAAAAGGAAAAATCAAACAAACAAAAAACAGAGCAAAAGGAAACACATGTGGTATCAAAAACAAAAACAAAAAACCACCAAGACTTCCTTGTTTAGAATCTATCGTTATTTTCTCTGTTTTCCCAAAAAGTTAACGAGAAGAAAACAAAATCAAATTTCCAATCACAGGAGTCCGCTCGCTATTCGTGCAAATCCCCTTTAACAAGCACCCAGAGAAACTGGCTTCGGTACATCTCCCCAGCTATGCCAGCTGCCTGCTGGCTCATTCATCTCCTGTGCCTTTCTAACAATCCTCCTGCTGGCTGGATGTTCCCTGAGGACAAGGCAGCTGGCCAGAGTGGCCAGACAAGACTTCTCTAACTACAATCTGCAGGCAGAGAGGCTAAAACCTACTGGGGCTCCGCAGCCTCGAACTTCGCTCACCCGAGACCCCCAACCCCTGCGCTTCTAAAGTGTTTCACAAGCACCTTTCCAGCACAGCTGGTACTCCGCCACTGACCCCCTCCTTCGCTGGTACTTAAGAGTGCCCTGCGCCAACCCCGGATGCCATCTTTCTTGAGCTCTCTGCATCTTGAATACTTTTGAGTTTTGCATTCTGATCACGTCCGTGTGTCTTTGAAAACTTCCCCCAACTTTTGCAAGGAGATGAGGCTGAATTTTCCTCGACTTGAACCGACAAAACCCGACACTATTTACAAGACATTCAAGACTTGAGTCTCCCCGCCCAGAGCCTGCCTGTATCCGGATTACCCTTCGTGCTCCCAGACTGCGAACCCTGATGCCTTGTGGCAGATCCCCAGCCCTGAGCGTGGCGCCACGCCTGCGGACAAGCGTCCGGAAGGCTGGTGTAGCCGGACTCGAGGGTGGCGGGACCCCAGAGACTTACAGTCCAGGGCGACCACGAAGTAGTGCAGCAGCAGCAGCATCAAGAGGCCTTGGGGGCTCCTCGCCATCGACGCGAGCACCAGCGGGCTGCGCAGCCGAGGGTCCCCCCCGCTGGAGCGTGACAGGCACCCCGGCCCCCAGCACTTGGCGGGGCGGCGGAGCAGCAAAAGTCTCGGAGAGGTGGAGGCAGAGGGGCGGGTCCAGGGTCGATGTCAGTCTCCCTCCTTGGTCCCGGGTGTCTCCTCGGGTAGCCGAGTGGCAGGTCTTCTGTCCCCGGGGCGTTCCTTCTTTTTAAGGGTGGAGGGGCTTGAGGAGAGGGCGTGGACGCGGGGCGCGGTGTCCGCAGGGTCCTAAGCGAGGGGTGGCAGAAAGTCTGCTGCTGGGAGAGGGCGAGTCCGGCAGGTCGGCCCCCGCCCGCAGGCTGATCCGCTTTGTGTCTGGTCCCGCGCTGAGCTTGCCAGCTGTCCCCAGAGCGAGGAGCTGGGGGCGGGAGAGCGCAGCCTGGTGGGATGGGCACCGGTGTGTGTGTGTGTGTGTGTGTGTGTGTGTGTGTGTGTGTGTGTGTGTGTGTGTTGGGCGTGGGGGTGGCTCTGTCTGTCGCTCCACGCCTCTTTTCTTCTCTTGCGTAGAAAACTTCGTTTTCAGTGTTTTGCCTAGGGTGGGAGAGATGATTTTTTTGGAAAGTTTTCTACCTAGCGGACAAAACGGTTGGAAAATCGCTCCTAAGTGTGGGCTCGTGAAAAGGGGTCTCGTGTTTCAAGTCAGGGCGCAGATTTCATCTTCTCAGTTCAGTGCCCCACGCCGCCCCCTAGAGAGTTAAGGTGTGTTCTAGGCGTTTTCGTTGTTTTGGAAGTTCATCTGACCGTGTGAAATATTTATCTTGTTTCTTTCCCGTTATGTAAGTGCCGCCTGTGGTGGAGTTTTCCACACGTTAAAACTCTACAGCTGCCCCTTTGTCAGGTTTATTTTTGGTCTCCTGTTCTTCCAAAAGGGAAATCCATTATGAATGCTGTAGCGCCTGCTTTAAAATTGACCCGCACTTCGGAGGAAGCGCACACTTGCCAAGGCGATTTCCACATTTGCTCTCCAGAACTGATGTCTGGGGGCATTCAAGAAAATTGACCCATCTGTGTAAAGGCCTTATCCAGGCGAAGACATTTGTGTTTAATAGGTCGGGTTAAATAAGGTCAAATATCGAATAATGTGTAGAAGATAGCTGCTTTAGTGGCCGGGGCCCTTACAAAGAACTGAGCCAGCTCGGTGGACAAAGGCTACGATATACTTAGATATGCAGAGCTCTGAAGAATGAGGCATCCCCACTGTTGCCTTGGCAACAGTGATGGAAGCTTTGTCCCCATAGGGAAGGGGAGGGGACACAGGACCCCTGGGGGCAAGAAAAGAAAAGTTAAAAAGAAAAAGCAAAAACGTTGGAGCTGGTGTAGTCCAAGCACACCTAACTTAAGGGTCATGGCCTGTGCTCCTGGGCAGGTTAGGTCGGCTGTCCTCAACAAGCCAACTAAAAAAGAGTCAAAGTAGTAGTGGTGGGGGGGAATGGACAAGACCGATGACCCGACGGGACACAGAGAGGGACAGAGATAGAGAGATCCTAAGCAGTTCATATCTAACCCATCATTGTATGGGCTTCAGTCCATTCCTATAGGGTAGTACGACAAGTTGTTACAGCTTTATGAAATCTCTTTCTGGGAGACAAGTGGCCCCTCAGGATGGTGCCTTTGCTTCTCCCAGCATGGGATTCCTGGGGAAAGTGCCATTCCTTTGGCATTTAAAGGATTCAGAAGTCAAGAAACTGCATAGGCTGATTAATCTGCCTCCGAGGAAGTGCCAATTTTTTGTTTTTTGTGTTAATGGTCTGGGGTGCTCAGAGATTCACCATACCATAAATACATTTTAATGAGAAGAGGCCTTTTCACTTTGGAAATCAGTATGGTGGTTCTTCAGGAAAATGGGACTTAGTCTACCACAAGATCCAGCAACGCCACTCTTGGGCATATACCCAAAAGATGCACATTCATTCAAAAAGGACATCTGTTCAACTATGTTAATAGCAGCATTATTTGTAATAGACAGAACCTGGAAACAACCTAGATGCCCCTCAACTGAAGAGTGGATAGAGAAAATGTGGTACATTTACACAATAGAGTACTACTTAGCAGAAACAAACAAACAAACAAACAAACAAAAAACTCATACAAATGGACGGCACTAGAAGAAACCATCCCGAGTGAGGTAAGCCAGACACAGAAAGAAAAACATGGTATGTACTCACTCATAAGTGGATATTAGACATAGAGCAAAGGATAATCAGCCTACAATCCACAAGCCCAGGGATGCTAGGAAACAAAGAGGACCCTAAGGGAGATATATGGATGCCCCCCACCCAGAGGGGAAAGGGACAAGACCTCCTGAGAAGAGTGGGAGCAGGGATGGGGGGATGAGGGCGAAGGAGGGGCTGGGGGAAGGTGGGGGTGGGGAGGGAGGGAGGAGAAAGAGGAGGGATGTAGCGGCACACTGTTAAGGCAAGATGCCACTATGGAGAGGGAAGGAGAGCACGAGGGATCAGGAAGGTCGGGTGGGGGAGGAACAGAGAAGGAGAGCATGGAAAGAGATAATAGAGGGAGCCGCTATGGGCTATGCGAGAAACCTGGCACTCGGGAACCGTCCAGAGATCTACAAGGGCGACCCCAACTAAGAATCTAAGCAACAGTGGAGAGGCTACCTTAAATGCCCTTCTCCTATAATGCACTGATGACTACCTCAGATGCCATCCGAGAGCCTTCGTCCAGTAGCTGAGGGAAGCAGAAGCAGAGATTCACAACTAAGCACTGAGCCGAACTCCTGGAATCCACTTGTAGAGAAAACGTGATGAGCAAGGGGGTCAAGATCATGGTGGAGAAACCCACAGAAACAGCTGACCTGAGCAAGTGGGAGCTCATAGACTCCAGACTGACAGCTGGGGAACCTGCATAAGACCAAACCAGGCCCCCTGAACCTGCGTGTCAGTTGGGGGGCTTGGACAGTCTGTGGGGCCTCTGACAGTGGAACCAGTCCCTAGTGCGCAAATGGGCTTTGGGAACCCATTCCCTATGGAGGGATACTCTCTCAGACTAGATGCAGGAGGGAGGGCCTAGGTCCTGCCCCAAATGATGGGACAGACTTTGATGATCCCTCATGGGAGGCCTCATTCTCCCTGAGGAGTGGATGGGGGTGGGATGGAGGTTTGGTGGGGGAAATAGGAGGACTGGAGGGAGAGGGAACTGGGATTGGTATATAAAATAAGAATATTTTAATTTAAATAAAAATTAATTTAAAAAAGAAGGGGCTTTTTATTTAGATAATGGCATGCAGTGTGGGATCAGGACTGCCCTGAGAGCACTCCCAAGATGAAGCCCCTAGTCATATCACCCCAAGGCTTATAAAGACAACACCCACAAGATTGTAAGTATTCTGTCTATGTATAGGCAGGGACTAATTTTAACATACATGCCTTGTAGTTGTCTTAGTCATCTTTCTGAGCAGAGTGAGCAAGTTTGCTTACAAAAGCAGAAATAGCAGTCAGTCTATGACCTCCTACTACCTTGCTAGAACAGTGAATTTTACATGATCAGTCAATTTAAGAATACTCTGGGAAAAAAGGGAAGTAGGCTGGTAGGGTACAACCTGTACAAGTTAGGGCTTATGCATTAGAGGCATGTTTTGCTATTTGTTCTCTCAAGCATAGTAAATCTAAACTGCAAATGCATATGTTTTGTTTGTGCATGTATGCATTCATTCATTTATTTTTGAGGTGGGGTTTCTCTGTGTAACAGCCCTGGCTGTCATGGAACTGGATTTGTAGACCAGGCTGGCCTTGAACTTGCAGAGACTCATCTGCCTCTGCCTCCTGAGTGCTGGGTTTAAGGTGTGTGCCACCACTGCCTGGCTTGTAAATGTAATGATAACCATCACAATTGCTGGCTTGTGTGTGTGTGTGTGTGTGTGTGTGTGTGTGTGTGTGTGTGTGTGTGTGTGACAGGGTCTCTCTACATAGCCCTGGCTGTTCCGGAACTTACTATGATGACCGGACTGTCTTCCAGGTACCATCACACCTGGCCCAAATTTTTACAAGACAAAGTCGTTCGAGGGCAGCAGCGGTACAAGGCTTTAGTCCCAGCACTCGGGTGGCAGAGACAGGCACAGCTCTGTGGGAACAAGGCCAGCCTGGTCTACAGAGCTAGTGCCAGGACAGCCAGGGCTACACAGAGAAACCTCATCTCAAACAAACAAACAAACAAACAAACAGATGAACAGATAAGCAAATAAAGCGTACTCAGAGCTTGTTCTAATTAGTTATTGACTCATCTATTAGAGGCATCTGACCAGTGGCTACAGTGTGTCTCCAGAGAGAGCCCTGAATAAGCCCAAGCTTTGTTGCTATGAAATTCAGTCTCCAGGAGAGAGACAGTTCGATTTGCACTTGTTTCTAACGTCTCATGATTACTGTTGGGGTAGGGGCAGTAACAGCTGGTTTTACTTCATGCTTTCTTGGTGGTCGGGAGTCTAAAAGTTGCAATTCTTAATCCTCCCACAAAGAAGAAATGTTATCATTCCCACTTTACAGATGAGGGAACTAGGCTGAGAGACGCCACAAAGGTTTACCTAAGGTCAAGGAGAAGACGATGGTTTCCCCGATGGGGATGAGGTTAGGGCTTTATTTGTTAGGCCTTGAAACATGGAACATTTGAAAGGAAAGAAAAGCGCAGGGTTGGTATCTGTGAGGTCATTCGTGGTGGAAAAGCAGAAGATTGGGTTACAAACGCCATTGAACACCACACTACTTGCTCTGGACATTATGATATGAGAAATGAGTGCTTTGGAGGCAATGCAGCAGAGGAGCAAAGGATCCACACTAACTAGAGCAGCATCTTCCTGTGTGACTCGTGCACTATTACCATTGCCGCCTGGAATTCTGGGATGGCTGGCTTGCTCCTAAAACAGTTCAGGTTTATCTTTCTTGTTTTCTCTGCATTTTCATCCTGCTTCTCTGTTGTTGTTGTTGATATATATATATATATATATCTATATATATATATCTATATATATATATATATATATATCTGCATGTAGCTCAACTGTCCTGGAAACCCACTCTGTAGATCAGACTGGCCTTGAACTCAGAGGTAGACCTGCCTCCGCCTCTGCCTCTAAGGGCTAGGATTAAAGATGTTGGATGCCGCCACACCTGGCTATCATCCTAGTTCTTATGGTGGCCATGTATGCTTAGAACCCCTCCTGTTGACCTCATTTACTCTTATGGCTTTTCTTGTCTTCCAGAACCATCTCCTGCCTCAAACTTTCAACCCCCTTCTCTCTGTTAATCAGCGTGAGATCCATATTTTAGGACCGCATTATCCAGTGCGATAGCCTCTAGGCCCAAATGGCTACCTAAGTTTGAATTTAAGTCTGTTTAAAGTTCAGTTTTCCAGTCCTGCTTTCCATAACTGTAGTTCTCAATA